GGCCGGGAGCGGCCACTGCACCCCAGTCTGGGTGACAGAGTGTGACTCCAACTCAAAAAAAAAAACAAAAGGAAATGCAGATACTGATTTCAGTAGGCCTGAAGTAGGGTCTGAGATTTTGCAATACCAGCAAGTTCACAGGTGATGATGATGCTTCCGGTCCCAGGACCGTTGTTTGAGTAGCCAAGTCTGTGCATGAAGGGGTAGGCGACACGCTTGGATCGGTCCATTGTTCTGCTTTGGGGTGGGGAGCACATCTTGGATGGGGGGTTGGACCGTTGCCCTTCCAAACACACATGGGAAGGGGCCAGAGAGCCTGACCCCTCCCTCACCTGCCCATGGCCCCAGATCCTGGCATATGGCGACATGAACCACGAGTGGGTGGGGAACGACTGGCTGCCCAGCCTGGGGCTGCCCCAATACCGCAGCTACTTCATGGAGTCGCTGGTGGATGCCCGGATGTTAGATCACCTTAACAAGAAGGAGCTCCGGGGCCAACTCAAGATGGTGGACAGCTTCCACAGGTGGGGGCTGCCTGGTCAATGGGGACGGTTCAAGGGGGAAGCCCCGCCCCGCCCCTGGAGAGCCTTTGGCCAGTGGGATTGGCGATGGAAAACTCCCAGGATTATCTTAGGCCCCTTTAGCCTGCGTTCTCAGGCAATCCTGACTCTGTGCCCCTTCCACCAGTGAGATGGTCTTTGGGAAAAGTGCAGATACTGAGCCGACTCGGCTCGTTAGCCCCGGACCCTTTCTCGGTTAGCCAACAGAGACGGCCTAGTGAAAATGCCTCGCCTCCTGGGTGGGTCAACCATCGATAGAGCCGATCAGCTCCCCAACCTCTCCCAGCCAATGGGGAGGGCCCAGTAGGAGGCGCGGCAGCCAGTGGGGCTGTGAAGGCACACCTGTGACTCTACTTCCCCTGCTGCTCAGGGTGAGTCTGCACTATGGGATTATGTGCCTGAAACGGCTCAACTATGACCGGAAGGACCTGGAGCGGAGGCGGGAAGAGAGTCAGACCCAGATCCGAGGTGAGTGTAAGAATGTAAGCATCCCTCTGGAGCCACGGGGAGGGAGGGGTATGGCGCAGGACTGGGAGAGAGGTGATGGGGCTGGAAGGAGGCCAGAGAAGAAGGGTGCTACCACAAACGAGGGGTGGAGCCAGCTTGGGGGCGAGGCCAGGAAGGAGGCAACACAGGCGAGGTATGGGCTAAGCTGGACCTGCCTGGCCACCGGAGGGACTTGGCTAAGGGTTCCTTCCATTCCCAGATGTGATGGTGTGGTCCAATGAGCGGGTCATGGGCTGGGTGTCCGGGTTGGGCCTGAAGGAATTCGCCACGAACCTCACGGAAAGCGGGGTGCACGGGGCGCTGCTCGCTCTGGACGAGACCTTCGACTACTCCGACCTGGCCTTGCTCCTGCAGATCCCCACGCAGAATTCGCAGGTGAGCTGCGGCTGGGTCCGGAGCACGCCGGGCATCCCCACCCCGCCGACCGCGCG